AGATGCCTGAGATGAACATCAAGGCCCCCAAGATCTCTATGCCTGATGTTGACTTGAATCTGAAAGGGCCCAAATTAAAGGGAGATTTTGATGTGTCTGTTCCTAAGGTTGAAGGTAATCTGAAGGGTCCTGAAGTTGACTTTCAGGGTCCCAGTTTGGATCTCCATGGCCCTGATGCCAAATTAAGTGGCCCAAACTTGAAAATGCCATCACTAGACATTTCTGGGCCTAAAGTATCTGCTCCTGACGTCGACTTACATCTCAAGTCACCTAAGTTTGGCATATCTGGTCCCAAGATAGAAGGTGGTGAATTGGACCTGAAGGGCCCCAAGGTGGATTTGGAAGCACCAAGTTTGAATATTGAGAGCCCAGACCTGAACATTGAGGGGCCAGATGTTAAAATTCCAAAATTTAAGAAACCTAAATTTGGCTTTGGGGCTAAAGGCCCAAAGGCAGACATCAAGTCTCCTTCATTAGATGTCACCGTTCCAGAAGCAGGGCTGAATGTTGAGTCTCCAGATATCAGTGGGAAGGGCAAAAAAATGAAGTTTAAAATGCCTAGGATCCACATGAGTGGCCCTAAAATCAAGACCAAAAAACAAGGATTTGATCTGAATGCCCCTGAGGGTGAAATTGATGCCAGTCTCAAAACTCCAGATCTAGACGTCAACGTGGCAGCTCCCGATGCTTCTCTCAAGGTTGATGTGAAATCTCCCAAAACTAAGAAAACGATGTTTGGGAAAATGTACTTCCCTGATGTCGAATTTGATATCAAATCTCCCAAATTCAAAGCAGAGGCCCCACTTCCCAGCCCCAAACTGGAAGGAGAGATCCAAACACCCGGATTAGAAGTTTCACCTGCCGGAATTAAAGCCGGGTTCAAGGGACCTGGGCTGGAGGTTGGGTCTGTTGGCCTGAGTGGGAGTCTTCCCAGTGCCAATGTGGAAGGGCCTGACATCCGTCTGAAGGCACCAAAGTTCAAGGGGCCTGGTGGGAGCATCGATTTCTCAGGGCCAAAGATAGAAGGAGATCTGAAAGCGCCCAGTGTCCGAGCCAACTTGGATGCCTCTGATATCAACATTGAAGTCCCTGATGCCAAAATCAAAGCTCCCTCCTTCGGCATCTCATCTCCTCAAGTATCTATCCCTGATGTGAATGTCAACTTGAAAGGACCAAAGATAAAGGGTGATGCCCCCAAAGTAGAATTGGAAGGACCAGATGTTGATCTGAAGGGTTCAGATGTAAAAATCCAGTTCCCTAAGTTTTCCTTGCCCAAGATTGGAGTACCTGGTCTGAAGGTGGAGGGTGGGGGAGCTGATTTTCATGGCCAGCTCCCCTCTCTGGAAGGAGGTGTGAGTGCCCCTAACCTCAAGGTCGAAGGGCCTGATGTAACACTGAGAGGACCCCAAGGAAATGTGCCTTCAGTGAACCTCTCCGGGCCAGATCTTGACTTGAATTTGAAAGGACCAAAGCTGAAGGGAGACCTGGATGTTTCTGGGGGTGTCGTGGGTCCCAAGGTGAGTGTGGACACCCCAGGCCTTGACCTCAAAGGAGCTGGTGGGAAATTGAAGATGGAAGGTGGTGGCCGATTTTCTGCAGAGGGAGGAGTGAAAGTGCCTGGTGTCGACATCAATTTAGAGACTCCAAAACTGAATGTCGGCATGCCCAATGTGAATCTGAAGGGACCAAACCTGAAGGGAGACTTGGGTCTAGCTGGTGACATCAAGGGTCCCAAAGTGTCGGTGGAGGCCCCAGCCGTCAGTTTGGAGGCCCCGGGGGGAGCTATTAAACTCCCCCAAATGAAGCTGCCCCAATTCGGCATCTCCTCTCAAGGGTCTGATCTGGACGTTAACGTCACAGGGCCGGAGCTGAAGGGGCCTGGGATGGATGTTGGCCTCAGAGGGGTGGACGTGAAAGGGCCTCAAATCTCGTCCGATATGGACTTTAACCTGGAAGGACCAAAGATGAGAGGGGGCTTCGGGGCCAGCGGCGATATCAAGGGTCCTGCTGTGGGAGTGGGTCTTGGCGGCATCGACGTCAAAGGCTTGGGAGGCAGCATCCAGACGCCTGATGTCAAGTTGCCCAGATGTGAAGCAGAGCTGCCAGATGTGAATGTTAAACTCCCGTCAGGGAAACTTTCGGGTTCAGGCATCGGTCTTCATGGGGCAGCTCCCGAAGTGAGCCTCCAGGGACCCGCGTTCAATCTCTCATCGCCCGAGGTCTCGGCATCAGACTTGGGGGGGATCGGTTTGAAGGGACCGAAAATCCAAGGTGGTGTGGATGTTTCTGGAGGTGTCAAAGCTCCAGACCTCAGCGTGGGGGGAGGACGCGTGAATATAAAGGGTGTGGGTGGAGAATGGAAAGGGCCCCAGGTTTCTTCCGCTCTGGACCTGGATGTGCCAAAGCTGGCTGGGGGGATCCGTGTTTCAGGACCAAAGGTAGAAGGAGGTATTAAGGGAGGCCAGGTGGGACTTCAGGGTCCCGGAGTGGGTGTGTCTGGCCCACAAGTTCACTTGGAAAGTGGCTCTGGAAGAGTGACATTCCCCAAGATGAAGATCCCCAGGTTTACGTCCTCAGAACGGGAGCTAGAGGGCAGAGAAGTGGGGGTGGATGTGAACTTCCCGAAAGTGGAAGGCAGCCTTCAGGCTGAAGCTGACGAAGGGGAGTGGGAGGATGCCAACATCAAGCTGAAAAAGTCCAAAATCAGAATGCCCAAATTCACTTTTTCCAAAGCCAAAGCCAAAGGCAGTGCCACCAGCTCCCCGGAGGTGTCTATGTCCGGCTCCAAAGGAGACCTCAAGAGCTCGAAGGCCAGCTTGGGCTCCTTGGATGGGGAGGTCGAGGCAGAGGCATCCTCACCAAAAGGCAAATTCTCCTTCTTTAAGAGCAAAAAGCCCCGTCACCGGTCCGGTTCCTTCAGTGACGAGAGGGAGCATTCTGCTCCGGTCACCCCTACGGGTACGCTCGAGTTTGGAAGTGGGGAAGTGTCCATCGAGGGTGGAAAGGTCAAAGGGAAACACGGCAAACTGAAGTTTGGCACCTTTGGTGGGCTGGGGTCAAAGAGCAAAGGTCACTATGAGGTCACCGGGAGTGATGAAGAGGCTGGGAAGCTCCAGGGAAGTGGGGTACCCCTGGCCTCCAAGAAGTCCAGGCTGTCTTCGTCATCGAGTAATGACAGCGGGACAAAGATGGGCATATAGTTGCCAGTGGTGGAGCTGACTGTTTCCAAAAAGTGAGAGGAAAGGCCCTTTGTATGTGTGCACGTGTACATATATAAATATAGATTTACAGTAGGTAGGCTTCTGTGTGTTTGTACATAAACTTCCAAAGATTGACCCAAGGTCAAAATCAGTGATGAAAATGGAGGCCCGGCTGGCACTTGGCCTGACCCCAGGCTAGGGTGAAGAGTCAGGCTGTGGTGATAACAGCAAAAGGAGGTGAATTTTTTTTGTTTTTTGTTTTTGTTTTTTGTTTTTTTTTTTCCAATCCAGCCTATCTGCAAAGTAAGCAGTATTTGCCTTCTTAAGATTTCAGTTTGCTCATTAAATGCTGAGAGCATCTGTTTACTAAGCAAGCCTTGTGTTTATCACTTTCATTTTTATGGAATCTTTTCAGTGTTGGGGTCATAGAAATCTGACGTCCATTTGAATGCCTTTTTTGGGGGGCGTAGGCTTTTGTTTGCAAGGTATAGGAGGGTGGGATGGGAGTAGGGGTGGGATGGGGGGGGTGAGACTTCCATTTTGTCCTCCAAGGATGGATAATATTCCAAAATTGTCCTATCAGACACACACCAGGATGGCAGAGAAGTCTTCCCCAGGAAAATTGTGTTTTGTTTTTTTTTTGGTGGGGGGGGGAGGTGGTGATGGTGCGCTTTAGCACATCAGTTCTCCCCCCAAGCTGGTAATTCTGACCTGTTTTGGGTGCTCCTGGTGAGAGGGGGTTAGATAGCTTCTCGCTTATTAGTGACTGACCCGCTTGACTGGGGTTTACATACTTTGTACTATGTGAGATGTTTTTACCAGTGACTGCCACTTTTCTGATATTTGTCATGGATGCTTTTAACAAATATTACCTGATTAAGAATCCAGCACTTTAATGCCAAATTAATTCAGAATGTAAGAAAATTCATGCTGTAAAATGCAAATAAAGCCGCTAACAAGTAATCTGGATGCCTTGTGTCTCTGGATTCCATCCCAAGGTGGAGGGAGGGGAAGCAGCAAAAACTTGGAGGTGGGAACAGTCCACAGGCCCAGAAAAGCCGAGTAACTTGTTTAAGTTCGAATAATAAAGCCCAGGTTGCTTAAGGTCTCATAGTCCCAGCTGGGCCACTGAGTTTGTGACAGACAGGACCACGAACCAATCAGAGGGAGGGTTTTGGGGGTTTACAAAAAGGGGACATTCATAGAAGCCCACAATGTCAGAAGTGGGGGGGGGGGGCTCTCTTCAGACACAGCTCTAGTTAGTGGTTTTGGCGACGAGCATGAGACGTGCCCCCACGGCATCTTTTTGTAGCTGGTTGAGTTCGGGATGGAGGGAGCAGAGCCCATGGTAGCACATTCCCTGTTTGGCCCCAGCACACCTCCAATCCTCTGCCAGGAAGACTGTTGTAGGGCCCATGTGGGCGCACCCAAGCTGAGTTCTTCTAGTAAACTAGGTGCTAAGTTTGGTTGTTTCTACACTGCCGACTGGGTTGGAGGGCTGTTTATGTTCTCAATTGCTCCTGGACTTCAGGAATGTGACTAGAACACAGACTGCAAGCTTAATGACTGACCGACCCCATCACTTCATTGTAGAGGTCGTAAACTGAAGGGCCATCAAATCAGTATCCAAGCTGGAGGGAATCTTAAGTTGTATATCATGGAATATCAGAACTGGGAGGGACCTTAGATCATGGGATGTCAGAACTGGGAGGGACCTTAGAACATGGAATGTCAGAACTGGGAGGGGCCTTAGAACGTGGGATGTCAGAACTGGGAGGGACCTTGCAGACTAAGCAATCCCCTTAGGAACTGTGTGGAAGCTGAGAGGAAGCAGAGAGAAGCGGGTCTCACTTTACACTTGTGGTCAGGAGATGACATGAAGCAGTTCTGGATGATGGTGGTGGATAGATGCAGGCTAGAGGCCAGCAGGATGGACAGGAAGAAGAAAAGGCCATCCAGGCCAAGTGGCTTTTGGACTCTCAGATTGCTCCAACTGGGAGTGGCACCGTAGTTTATCATGCCCTGGGGGCTAATAGACGGGCCAAAGCTCACAGCGTTCTCACTGCTGGATAACATTTCCCATAAGACCATCATGGATTTAAATCTGGACAGGACCCTGGAGATCATCTGGTCTAATTCTTTCATTTTACAGATGGGCAAACTGAGGCCCAGAAAGGCATCCGGGGGTGATCATTTAGAGCTGGAAGGGACCTTAGAAGCCAGCCCAAGGATGACATTGAGGATCGGCAAGGAGGGTGCTTGGTCCAGTCACACAGCTAGGACACCACAGAGCCAGGATCGGATCCCAGGTCCTCCGCTCCATCCGCTAGGCTTCCGTCATCCCATACAGCCCATCTCTTCTTTTCTCCCTATAGAATCAAGAATCTGCTTCTCCATTTCTCATACTGTCACCCATCTCACACTAGGAATAATGACAATGACGATGATCATTGCTTCTATTTCTGTCCTGTTTTACACTCTTTGGGTTTGAGAATTTCTCTCTATAAACTCAGTGACCATCAATAAATGTAAACATTCAAATGAACCAACTAAAGGTTTTAAAATGAGGTCACTCTTAAACCCCAAACTCCAGCCAGTTTACAATTTGTTTTTAAAGTAGGCGTATTGACTGCACTCTCTCCCCATCCCTCTCTTGTAACACGGAAGTGTGGACGAGTCAAACAAAGCAGCCCATTGGCTGTGTCTGAAGTGTCTGCGGAGCCTACAGCCCACCCCTGAGAAAGGAGGGTCTTTCCTCTGGAGCTACAATTACCGATCGTTGTGGTAATCAGAATTCTTACGCCTCTCTGTTTTGTTTTCCTTCTCTTGGGTCAAGCCATCTTACAAGCATGTTAGATGCTGTGCTGGG